CATACAGACAGACATACAGACAGACATACAGACATACAGACAGTCATACAAACAGACATTCAGCTTTATATATAAGATTGATTTAGTGGCTTTCTGTTTCACACTAGTCGCAAATTCTACTTCTATGGTCATGACGACTTCGCGTGAGCAGTCCTTCCGTTGTAAGTTTCTTGCCCTTTTTATTTTGCTCTATTTTCTTCCTGTCTACTCGAAGATGCTTTAAAGTGCAGTACTAGTCCTTATCAAAGGCGGACACCCTATTCATTGTTACGCCTGCCGCAAGCATTGAGCTATCTTCCGTATTCTGCATGGGCTTCGCATCTTACTGTCGCAGATGCCCCGTTTGAGTAGACGAAAACATGCAAGTTCAAGCTCTATCGTTTTTTGTTTTAGAGCGCAGAATTCTCTACCAACACATCTGTCAATCTCGAGTGTGCTGGGGATATCGTGGCACGAAAGGTATTTTCTTTTTTGATTCATTGAAGCTGATGTCTTACTACTTTTAGTTCCACTGCCAATGCTGACTGAGCAGCTGCATGGGACGTCAGAATGGTACTTTTGGAGAACTATGAACAAAACAAGGTATCTAACAGAAGTCGTTGCTCTGAGGAAGGTGATTCTGCTTTAGTTTACCGCAATCATTTTCACAATCATTGTCACAATCATCAATGAAGTACTTCCTTTTGCGTGGATCGACGAGCCTGAGGGCATTGCGCATGGACCTCTGATCGATGAAGGTCTGAAACTCAAGCCACAGGCGATTTAGCCTAGCGCAACGTACGCGGAAGAAAGAGGGAGCCCGGCATTGACACAAGCTGTGTGTGCTGGGCTTAGCCATCGAATGGTAAAGTCCAGCACATACAGCTTGTGTCGATGCCGGATGGAATTTTGGATGGATGAAATTTCCATACTACATTGTTCCTTTCGCCAGAGTTTTCATTTTCGTATATCTTATTGTAGAGGTGATGTCTTGTATCTGCGTGCATGATTTGATTTATGACTGCTTTATGTCGCTTGCTCTATATCAATTCGGTATCATGGAGTCTGTCTCAGTTGCAATAAAATCGACTTCATAGCTTTTGTGCCTATCTCTTGGAGAAGTTTGTTGATTGTGTATACACAGTCCCATAAAATAAAGCTCCTTACATAATCTGTTCCTTTTTAGTCATCGACTACACTTTCTAGAGCTTCTGATTTCAAAAGTTTCACGAAAGTGACTCGTATCTGCACTCCATCGACTCCCAGATTGTCGCTAGGGCGGCCGCGATGATCAACTGATAATCAGTTTATCAGCTATGCTTCAGCAGTGGAGACCACATCGCTGACGCGCTCACCAGCTTCGTCCCGAGGAGCAGATAATACGTGTAGTCTGTACAAATCAGCATCAGTAGTCCCAAATTTATCCAACTATCCTAAGTATGCTTCGAAAAGTTCAGGGTAATACAGGTCATAGCGAATTTGAAACACAAACAGAAGTAATCCATATCTCGCTCCTTTCAAAATCAGCCTTGTATTGTGCCTAAATGACATCCTCAGCATTAGCTTACTCCATCACGTTGATGATCCCATTATCTGCTACAATGGTCATCTGCGCTTTGAGTCGCGCGCTTCCATAACCGGCCCACCATAACATTCAAAATTCATTGTGTCATAGAGAGCGCTCATCGCCGCTATTCGAAACTTGTGAAACACGAGTTGAAGTAAAAAAGTAACACTGGAGTGATGTTATGCGTTTGCTTTGGGATCTAACGATGAAGTAGAACCAAATCCATCAAATCATCAAGATGGATTTGGTGATCGACACAACGGCAGAAGAATACGTGGAATGTGTGCCGAGGAATGTAATGGCACCAATCGCTGAACATGTATGTCCAGGACGAGAGATCAGCCATTTGAAAGTCGCGATTTGTAGCTTTGACCATGGAAATCTCCGGCGACAAAATCCGACGATGAAATCGCTGCAGTATGGCCAGGGCTTTAGACAGCAAGAAAATTGCAACCACCCTTTTGTCCAAAGAGAAATTACTGACTTTCGCATCTGCTGCTTAATGAGAAAACCGCAGTACAAGTGAGTCGAAATTACTTGCGTACATTTGCAAAGTACAAATTCATTTCTCCTATTCTCTTGAACAATCTGTTTCGGTCATCCAAAACCTTGTGTTTTAGCTTGAGCATTTAGTGGCGAGTGAGCTCCAACATCAAGACTTTAATGCATGATGCACTTTGCAAAAGACCTCCATCAACCACAGGGCTTCCCGACGATAGCACAGCATCATCCAGTCTGTAAGATGTCTATTTATCAAGTATGCAAATCATAGTGAAAGCATTTTTGAGAAGTTATCTAGCAAAGTTTGAAGCCAGAGTATGTAGAAAAAGTCAAAAATGGCTTAGATAGTCATAGTTAGATAGTCGAGCAAGAGATCACGCAAAAGTCCTTCGAAAATAATCTTCCCCCCCCCCCCGTAAGAAAGCCACAAACGAGCCCTCCGCTCCACCTGCAGAACCTTAGCCTGTAATTTTTGAAATTGTTTTTTTATGTCTGTAAGCCCGTCTTCTACGACTGCACAACTAAGCGGCACACGTACTTGACGGCAAATTGGGTTTTGAGAGCTATAAGTTTCACATGAATGGAGTGTCTAGCTCCAAGTTTTCAATATAGCAAGAAGTCTCTTCGAACTCTATACTCATTCTAAAAAACGAGCGATTTATAGATACTGAAGGCAAGTAGGGTTTAAGGAGGTCAGGCACAACCTACAAAAGCTCGCGTTGTTCCTAACGCCAAAAGACACTTCCAAAAAAGCTTCTCCACCCAAGTTTCAGTGATTGGCTAGCACTAATCTCGAAGATTCTACAGTAATTGTTTGAGCTTGCTTCTACTTTTTTGGCCTTGTGATAATCCGTGGCGTTGAACTCTTTAAGGTGAAAAGAATGTCGGTTGTTTAAAAAAGGGCATGACTTTGTTACGAGTACAAAAAAGCTGACTTCTTTCACTTTTAAAACCAAGTTAATCATGTTTGAAAATCACGCATTTTAGACATTGAGGTAGTTTGACATCACCCATAGGCTGATATGTTGGCTGCGGAAATAGCACCCATTTTACACAGAAAGCTTCCTTGGTGACTTTACGATATGTCAAGTAAAAGGTGAAGGATTGAATTTTGGCTGAACCTTCGACTTTGGAATTAATCATTATGCTGTTCATGACCGTCACATCTTCAGTAGTCGAGCGCGATATTTAACGGACTAGCGCTGTCTTTCTTCACCTTAATTGTGAATCTCCTCAATTAAGCGAATTGCATTTTTGATTGAGGCCACCCCCCCCCTTACCCTCAATACGACCCTCCATGTCGGGCACGCCTGACCCTACGCTCAACCCTGGTCATATCAAGTCGCACAGTAGAGTGGAGTACGTGGTCATATACTGGGCTGATTCAAAAGTTCTGTCCGATTTGCGAATTTTCCATCTAAAATCTCATAACTTTTTCAAAATCAACAATTTTGAACAACTCAAATTTTGTTTTATTGAGCAAGTTTACGGCTATTACAAGCACTGCATGACATGTAAGGAAGGCGAGCGAGAAAGAAGAGAAAAAATTTTTGAATTCTGCAAGGTTTTCCTCAAAACCGTCCAGTTTCACTTATTAATGGTTCCACATGAGGATGGGCAGACATATTTGGCTGCCATCATTAAGTAGCTTATACTTCAGAGGTTCTTATGCGGTTAGAGAAAATCCGAGTTATTTTCGCTGCATAGAAATATTTGCGAGCAAATTAAAAAACCCCATTATTTGAGCCCTCCTCCGAGTGCGAAAATATGCCGACTTTCTAATATTTGATTTTTTTTTGCTTTCGCAAACGAAGAAAGTCAATTGGTCGATGGTGTTGGTCCTGTTTGCCCTCACTTTACTCTAATATATGCAATATTGAATGCATCACCTGTCACTATATGTAGATTGTTGTTGCTTGTTAAATAACTGAGTTTGTCTTCTATCTTTGAAAAAAAATTGAAGAAGTAAGATGATTTCTACGTCGGAGAAAAAGTGTGCGTATGCTAGCATATTACAGCCTCACCCATTAAAAAATATTAAATACTTAGTTTTGTGAATGCAGCGGTGGTTCTCTTCATGGAAACTTTTTCTTGTGCATGACTGCAATTTGGCAACTTTGGTTCGGGGGTTGAAATTTTATCACTGGAAAGTTGATTCGCCAAGCATCAGCAAGCGCTAGAAAGAGCAGGAAAAGTACTTCTGGATGATGTTTATGACAATGCCGTAAGTGCAATATCCTAAGAAAATAGCTTCGCTGAAACAAGGCAATTGAAAATCGGACAGAACTTTTGAATCAGCCTAGTAGTGTTAAATGGAGCTACGATGTGCATTCAAACAAGTGTAATATCATAAAATGCGGGAATATGCACTTGTTAAGAACTCTCTTGCTTGAAGTTTTCAGCAAATTTAACAGTATCGGTTTCTGGGTCAGCTTGACTTACGTATGAAACAAATCAGTATTGGTTTCTGGGGTTGTCAGCTTGACTTACTTTACTTTACTTTACTTTACTTATACACTCAAAGGTATAAAACAAAAGAAAAAGAAACAGCAAAATACAATGCCAGCTAGTCTTAAACGCAACGGAAGTCAAACGCGCACGTTAGAATGAACTAGAAGACTCAGTCCCATAAAATCTGCCAAACAATCAGATAAACAATACTCAATTTAAAGAACGATTAAGCAGCAGAATCTTGCTTCTTCTAGATTGATAGACCCTTTTTTTGGTTGCCAACGAGCCTGCGGGTGGAAGCTAGCTGACTTGACCCCGGAAAAACTAACTATAGATGAAGGTAAGATTCTGAACGAACTTCCAGTTACAAAGACTAAACAGTACATGTTTAGACTATTTAAGAGCAATGATTGTGTCTAGGTTCAGACGAGGCATTAGATGTCAATTGAAGTCATTCCGCTGTGGATTAAGACAGGCTGGTTTCAATTATAAAGTATCAATGGTTAGTAACAATCGAAAAAATATGGTTAGCGGTCGACACAGTACTTGATCTGGCTATTTTCCCCAACAGAGAATTAGAGCACAGCTGCACTGTAGTAAAACCATTTGACGAAGCAGCCCTTGAGGGAGCAGTTGATGCCACATAAACGAAATAGATTCTCAGTTGCAGTCCGAACGGAAGGAGCATAAAGTATAAGCCATAATTCATACAGCACAAATAGTCACCAGTCAAAAAAGCACACTTGAGCCAGATCTGAAAAAGAACGTCAAAAAACTCAAAACAGAAAAAAGAAAAGGGGTTATAAAAAAACCACAAGACGTAGACTTCTTTGCTCAGACAGGCTATGGCACCTGAATCAAAAGCACAAAATATGAAAACATCAACATAAATACGAATCACTCTCAACAGATTTCAGAATTGCTGACTTCTCTAAAGCTTTTTTGAAAGCCCGACTATTTTTAGCCGACTGCAACTTAGCAGGTAGTCGTCTAAACCAGCGATCACATCGATAGAACAAAAAATTGAAAAGGCCAGAATAGCAGTATTTATCTAATCTAGGGTAGTGAAGATTGAAACCCCCTACTCTGCAACTCACAGGTCTAGACCCAAAAGTTGCTGGCAGGAAGGTCACTCTCTCTCCGCAGAATCGCAAAACAAAGAACTAAGTCAACAATCATTCTTCTACGTTTCAACGATTTCAAACCAGGAAGTCTCAAGCGATCATTGTAATCTGGATTGGACCTTTCTTGCATATTATAAGATTTGCGAGAGAAGACCATCCGTGTAAATATGTGTTGAACTCTTTTAATCTTGACAATTTCTTTCTTTCTAGAAGGGTTCCACACTTGAGAGCAATACTCAAGATGTGGTAACACATACGCTTTATATAGTCTCGTCAGAACGAATGGATTAGAGGAGTGAATAACACGAAAAATTTCAAAAAAGAATCGGATATGCTTTTTTAACAGCAGAATCAATATGATTGGAGAAATTTAATTGAGAGTCAACAAAAACACCTAAGTCTCTGACTAGTGGGCAGGCTACCAAATCTGTTCCATTAATTTGATATTTGTTTGGACAATTTTCAGATGCAAAAATGAGCATTTGCTCGGATTCAAGGAAAGTCCGTTAGATGAAGCTCACATGTTCAGTTTATCTAGAGCTAAAGTGCGGTTCATAATTATACGAACACCCACAATTTTGAGAGTTCCTGGACGTTTTGGAAGAAACTCAAAAAGTCGTCGGTACCACGCGAAAGAGCACAGCCGAAAATGGTATATGATCCATAAGAATGATAACCGATGTCAATTTTAGGAGTGTTTTTGCGCCTAATGCGAATTTTGAGCGGTTCATAATTATACGAACACCTCAAACAAAGTTCCATTTTTCATTCAAGACTGCAATCTTTCGGGTCCAAATTTTTTGTGGAGTTACAGTAACAAAGTGTGAACTGCCTGCTACACACTGAACCCAGTGCAGTTCAAAAAGAGAAGCGTTGCTTATCCCAGATGGCTCTAAATGCTTTTGGAGTCATTGCGCTCCAAAAACGTCTGTTTTTCTATGGTCAACGCACTCTAACTAGCTTCTACCAAAGCTAAGAGATAAAATAAACATTTTCGATAGATATTTTGTTCGACGCTTGGAAAATCTTTGCGTTTTCGTGCCGTTTTTCGAATAAGTTCTATCTTTACCGTAGAGTTAGCGCAATTTCGAGCCTCAAAACTCAGCTTCTAAAGTCCTAGAATGAAGTAAGCACATAATATGTAGAAGCCCAAGACTGGTAGTTGGCCAGAAAAAAATCAGCAATGTTGAGCATTTGTTCTGGCCACGCAGGCGTCATTTCACCAAATCCACTGTTTTTACTATTGCAATCACCCCTTTATCTGGTTTTTTGCTCCGTAGTTCAAGGCTAGTCCTGCAAAAAACCCAAAAACTTTGGCACCGATACACCATCGTGCAAGCAATGCAACTGCTTCATATCAAATGTTTGCGCGAGACAGAAGCTGAGTTTTGAGGCTCGAAATTGCGCTAACTCTACGGTAAAGATGGAACTTATTCGAAAAACGGCACGAAAACGCAAAGATTTTCCAAGCGTCGAACAAAATATCTATCGAAAAAGTTTATTTTATCTCACAGTTTTGGCAGAAGCTAATTAGAGTGCGCAAACCATAGAAAAACAGACGTTTTTGGAGCGCAATGACTCCAAAAGCATTTAGAGCCATCTGGGATAAGTAACGCTTCCCTTTTTGAACAGCACTGGGTTCAGTGTGTAGCAGGCATTTCACACTTTGTTACTGTAACTCCACAAAAAAATTGGACCTGAAAGATTGCAGTCTTGAATGAAAAATGGACCTTTGTTGAGGTGTTCGTATAATTATGAACCGCTCAAAATTCGCATTAGGCGCAAAGACACTCCTAAAGTTGACATCGATTATCATTCTTATGGATCATATAGCATTTTCGGCTGTGCTCTTTCGCATGGTATCAACGACTTTTTGAGTTACTTCCAAAAAGTCCAGGAACTTCCAAAATTGGGGGTGTTCGTATAATTATGAACCGCACTTTAGTTGCATCGATGTATGCACATCAAGGAAATCATATTCATTGTAAGATGCATACAGTTTAATATCGTCCGCATAGATCTGGACATCAACACCATTCAAGCCAATTAGAGCAGGTAGTTCAAAGGTGAAAATCAAGAAGAGAAGTAGGGAGAGCACTCCTCCTTGAGGTACTTCACTGGTGCATTAATACTCACCGGAAAACGATTATCCAACTTTGATGGTCATGTATCGGTCTTGAAGGTAAGAGCGAAACCATTTCAAAAGATTGCCAGAAATGCCAAACTTCTGTAGTTTCATTATCAAAACATTATGAGGGATCTTGTCAATAGTTTTTGAAAGGTCGACATAGCTTATATCAACTGATTTTCGAGTGTTGAGAGCTTTTCTCCAGTCAAAAATGCTTTTAGCAAGATTATTGGTGGTAGATCTTTTCGCAAAGCCATGTAATTGAGGTGGAACTCCGTACCATTTCTTGATACAAAAAAGCAGCATTTTCCTTATAATTTTTTCCATCACCTTGACTGGAGTAGAAGTCAAACTAATGGGACGAAAATCAGACACCTTAACTGCAGTACTAATCTTTTGGATAGGCACAACCACCGACTTTTCCCATAGAATTGGTACTTTACCGAAATACATAGAGAGATTGAACAAGTCCGAAAGAGGTTTGGAATGTACACCCGCACATTTTTTATAGATTATAGGTGGGATATCATTATAGGGTTCCGTACAGGAAGAATGTAAAGATTTCAAAATAATGCGAATATCAGATTCATGGAAGTAGACAGTATCACACGTCTGCTGAGGATAGGTGTCATCCAAAGAATGGTTTACATCATAACCATCTGCGAAGACACTAGCAAAATACTTCCCCAATGCTTCTGCCTTATCAACATCATTGACACATTCTTTACCAAACTCATCAAGGACACTGGGAAAGCCTCTGGTCTGCAGTTTGCTTCGTATGTATCCGAAAAACCTTTTTGAATTTGCATAAGAAGATAATCGTTTTTCATAATTAGCCAAAAACTTTTTAAGATGAAAATCTAGATCAAGACAGACTTTTTTGTACAATGCATTGGCTAAAGAATTAATTAAGGCATTAAACAAATTTTGCTTTTGATCTAGAAGAGCACAGATGTGTTTAGGGTAATGAAAATTAGGTGAGCTGTTAATGGTTTTCATACAGCCAAATTGGCCAAGTCCTTCATAAACTCTGGTACAGAATCTATAATAGGCATCACCTAGAGAGGTACGATCTGCAATCAAAGAATTCCAATCAGAAGAATAGACATAATCGTTTAATCCAAGATAATCAAATTTTGGAAAGTCAGGAGCAGGGTACATCGTCTTAGCGGTATAGCCACCTTTTACATGAAATTCAATAATGTTGTGATTAGAAGAAGCAACATACATATAAAACGAATCAACGAACCAACCAACGAATCATAACTGATTTTTGAAGGTTCTAACTGCGATGATTTAACAATTTTCGACGCGTTCGCGTATGTCGCCGCAAAATAAAACTTGTGAAAAAATTATCTCGGAGGCTGAAATTAGCAAAAAATGATCCAATAATACATTCCACTGTACTTTGTTTACTTGACTAATCTAATAGGAAATTTTAGGAAGTACATAGCTCGTGTACATAAAGTGCTTATCGTGGTTTAGCTGACGTTTGGTTAAGTCAAAGCGTATAATGCTGTTAACCTTTTGGCGTTGTTTTACACTTTCATAACGCTTGGTATAAATATAGGGATAATATAGGAACATGTATGTCGCCATAAAGATCATCCGATCTCTTTGTGATTGGCCATTTTTTTATAATTTCATATGTTCTTTCTTCGTAACCTGGGCATGTAGTATTACTATCTTCTGTATTGTTTCGCCACACAGGTTTGTTTGTAAGTTTAATTTATTCAGCCTGACGTTTCGGCAATGTTGCCTTCCTCAGAGGTCTGAAAGATAGTCTCGCGATAATCACGGCAGGAACTCCATCAGGTTGTTTTCATGATTTAACTTCTCCGAAAAATGCAAAATCTGAAACTTGCGAAGATAATCGCCAAAGACGGTGCTCTTAATATTTGATTTATGCAAATCTGCGGAATGTGATTAAGCAAATGGCGTGTTCGACTTTCTTTTAGCCCTTTTTCAACACTCTTGCACAGGACGTGTTAAATTCTTAAACGTATCGCTGACTCTACTACTCGATAAGCCAGTTTGAAGGGACTTTCCTTGAATTATACTCAAGGATAATAGTGAATACTTGTGGCGGGAGGTTTACTTGCAAACATTATTTACTTTTTGGAACACCCTGTACTGTGTAGTGGGTAAAGAATTTTTTTTTTACTACACTAAAAAATTTGCAAAAATTTCCATGCCTAGAATATCAAAAGCTGCAAGATCTCATCCAGGTGGCGTTGTTTCTTTGTACTATTACACTGCACAAAAGCTCTTGTGTAATTCAACATTTCAATAAGTTTCTAAACTCTAAATTAAATTGACGTTTTGTATTCAGAAAAAGAGAAATTTTGCGTAGCTCATTTAAGTGCATGTTGCTTTGAGGTTCTCATAACTGTCATCAAATGAAAGATGCTAAGCTAACATACTAACAAAAAAAGATTGTTTAGTCAAAGTAGCTTTTCCGAATAAGATATATACCATATTAGAGGGCGTAAAACGCTGATTCCAAAATTGCCTTATTTATCTGCAGAAGGTTTACGGACGAGGAGTGCGTTTTTAGAGCCAAAAATTGAGTGTGCATTTTGGATAAAATAAGCTGCTAAAGACTTACTAGCCCTCAAATAATGCAGCCATACATCTTTTATTTTGAAGTAGTCTTCAAATGAAGTGTTCTGATGGTTATCACTGGCTTCATTGAAGAGCTAGAAAAGTATCACGGCTATTTCTGTCCTTCTTGCATGTTCAATTCTTTGCTCCAATAAGCGCTCATAACTACTCTCCATGAATCTGCACATAAGGAGGGCAAATTTGAAATCAGCATTTTATGCCCTTCATCCCATCTTAAAGGCCACTTCGACTAAGCATGCATTCCTTGTAAGTATCATCTTATTTGCTATTTGAGTAATTTTGAGTTCCTGATACTTAGAGAGATGTGAAATCAAAGTAGAGGTCACAGGGCGTCAGCGATCACAATGCAACGATCTAAGCACAAAAAATAACTAAAAATAATCATCCTTTGTGATGTTTTGCTACACACAGGTTTGTACAAGTTTTATTTATTCAGCCTGACGTTTCGGCAACAATGCCTTCCAGCCTCAAAAATAGTCTCGTTCAGTATTCGCTGTTCTATACGACACTCCTTCCACTTGCTTCATTAGACTCGTTTCAAGTGGACAGTACTGAGTCTTCATGCTATGGCAACTCACAATGTCAGCAACGTTGCTTACTTACGACCCACCCACCGATAACAAATGCTGCACTGTCACACTAATGGACAATTCAAGTATCGTGGGTATCTTATTACTGGCATTAAGATATGAACGGCATAAGAACGCTGATGATAGAAAGCTGTTCACTCTTGCCGTTCATCTTAGGCAAACTCGAGAGAGTGAACGACGTTTCCAGTGCTTTGCGAGCCCCAATTTTACTTTCGAACGCCAAGATCATGCACTTAACGCAATGATCGTTACCGTCGTGACCTGATCTATGTTTCCCGAGTAGACTCATTGTGCTCCCACCGTTTCTTACCGGCTAGGTGTTCGCTAACGCGGATGCTGAGTAAACGTTCTTCTTTCCAATATAGGTTGCATGACAATCCAGACATTCGAGTTCGTGTATTACGCCAAACGTTCAGCTCAACTCAACGCAACCCGCATCAGTTGAATGCGGCAGGTGGACGGATGGCCAACTGTCATTCATTTCTCATGCTTTTAGCATGGGAAGGCGGGCGATGGCGTCGTTCCAAATAATGGAAGACCAAATGTTGGCTTCAGTCAGATCATCTGAGCGATCGAGCGGCCATAGACTTTAGGGGCAGTATTTATCAATCTCCGACTCGCTGTTCGGGCCATTGTCAGCGCAGGACAGGCCGGGTTCCGCTGCCCGACTGCCGTGCGCAACGTGGCCAAACTTACCAGATCGGACCATATTCTCCAAAAGAAGATACCTGATCACCAGCTTGGCTTCGTTATCAGCAGACAGTAAAACACGGGACAACAAGGATTGTCAATTTTGAGCCCACTCAAAAACTTTTTGTTCAAACCGGCTTCCCTACCGAGTAACAGCCAAACGTGGTTCAAACGTTTGCATTGGAAAAGGTAGTCATTCTCAGTTGTGCGACACGATAAACATTGTTGTTAGAAAGGTGTTGCTCACATATTTTGCGGTACAGTCTTCGAGATATGATTACAAAACTTTCTTCTTTTGTCACCTATAGACAAGAGATCCCACCTTTTATAAACAACTAACCAGATCTAGCACTGGATTCACACTTTGCAATAAGCTTGAAAGACTTCCATGTGAACGAAATCCCAGTAGTCGTGTAAATGGCAATTCCAATCTTACCTATTATCGCTGGCATCAATCTTCATACTGGCAGCCACAAAACGGATGGGTTGTGAGAGGCGGTATTCAAATCTCATCCGGTGCTAAAAGTCTATTGAGCCTCAGCGCCAGCTTCGCACCTACGCAGTGTAAATGCCAGCACATACCGCAAACTTATCGGTTCGCTCCAACAATTATGGGATCAGCTTCGTGTTAGAATGAGATGTGATGAACAGTGCGAACCAATGTAATAGGCAATCGTACTCTATCAACCTTCCCCTTTCCTTCGTCATTCTATCATAAAGATCCAAAACCGTACCACACTGCTGATGGTCTCGAATACTTTATTCTGGCATACTCATGTTTTGAACAACAACAAAAACATCAAGCATTTCAATTTGTCTTACGAACAGCGGCAAGGTTTTGATGAAGTAGGAAGGCTTACAAAAAGTGGGATAGCTAGTCTATCGGTTAGTGATAAAGGAGAAAAGCTTGTAATCATGTCTCGAAACTGGATAGCAAAATATGTAGCAACACCTTTCTGACAACATCTTCATCGTCGCACAACTGAGGAAAAAATACTTTTCCCAAAGCAAACGCTTAAACCACGTTTGGCTGTTGCTCGGTAGCGAAGCCGGTTCGAATGAAAAGTCTTGAGTATGTTCAAAATTGAAATCAGGGTTGTCCCGTGTTTTACGTTCTAAACGCATAAGCTCGCTGCAAGTGATTTGAAATCTATGTCTGCCACCATGTTCAAAACCCTACTAATCATCACCTGCGTGAACGGTCTAACCCATAGAATTTCATGGTTTCTGAACAAAACAATTCTATCTGTTTCGTATGCAGAATAGGGAGATAGGTGCTATCCAGAAGCCCAATTACGTAATGCCGATATGTCAATGACTGTCTGATCGTAACATCAAGACAGTCCGAAATGGGTGTTTTCGCGTAATGAACGAGCAATCGCTATACATAAGGTTTACCAGAGAGAAATCGAACGGTTGATTACCGTACCTTGAAGGCACCGTCCATCCAAAATTTCGACCTCCATGTTTTTGCCGTTCCAGGGCCTTCTCATACCCCTAATTCTGAATATCAAGTCGAAAATCGGTAACACGAAAAACCACCGTTCTCAAAACCCGCAGAGCGATTTCTTTGGAACGGTGATTGGTCGGGCGCGCACGAATGGGCAAGATGAACTCTCACCCACTCAAAGGGGAAGAGCCAACATCGCGAATCTGTCATGCTAGCGATTTTCGAAGCAATGTTCTCCCTTCGGAAGCAGCTTTTGCCAGCGCGAGTTGGATAAGTATACAGTTGGGGACTCCACTACTGTAAGGCATCAAAATCTCGTCGACCCCATTTCGGGTAGACGTGCTGCTTCTAACACAAGCTGATGTTATCAGGTGGCAACGTCCGCGTGAAATGATACCGTAAGGATCATTCCAAAAATACCATTTTACACGCCAAATCTGGCCATTCGCTCGCGGTCAAAAGAGCAGTTGTGCGCAACATGTTTGAAACAGCCGCAGAGGTTTGCAGTGGCGAAGGCGAAAAACAAGAATCTATTGAACTTGCAGGGAAGGTTGCAGAAAACAACGGCTATTCTAGATCCAAACATGAAAGAACATCTATTGGTAAACTTAAACTACATGACCAAATCAGAGTTATGATTCCCTTAGATTACCATCCATTATGACAAAGTCACAAACAAGTCCAAAGTTGTTTCATACACGCACAGCTGAAAAAAGATGTTGTAAACATTCCTAGGAACAACATCAAGCGGTAGCTAGTACGTAATCATCTCCATGATACGGCTTGTATCACACAGAACTGCAATGTATGCCCTAATCGCAGAGTAGGGAGATGTGCCAAGTTTGGCGTAGTCTGCAAACTCAAACATCTGATCTGTATTGCAACTTATAT